AAAAAAAACTTTCACGGCAATAATTACTAGTTTCGGGCGAGTTAGAGAAAAGACGAGTTGAACTGATTTGGGCAACAAATGTTATATGTACACAAGATAGTATTTCAATGTGGCGGCGTTTATTAATATTAATACGTGCTCGGCCAGAGATCATGACTTGACTTGGTGTACTGCAATATGCAAAATTTCGTCATGTGTAAAAAATGATTATCCCAAGCAATTCAATGCTTGATAAACTATAAATCAATATATAGTAAGGTTCTCTTGTTAGCTAGCTATTTTTATTTATTCATTCGACCAATTGGCATTGACGCCACTTGATACGATATATTTAGAACTCATTTAATTTATCCTTATTACTTCGTTAAGGACATGAGACAATGAACTGATTCACAAGACCGGCTATAATGCTATTTGTACTATGTTCTATCAATTAATTAAATTGATAATACAGTGACAAGCGTATAAATAACTTTCACGGCAATAATTACTAGTTTCGATATTACCTGTGCAAGTTAGAGAAAAGACGAGTTGAACTGATTCGTACATACAGTGCCGGTCGTCCAAACACACCTGCGGCTCTTCTCCTGACCTTTATAGAATTTAATGGCTCTGGGATTCTGTTTGCCCGGCAACCAAATGTTATATGTACATAATAATAAGACAGATTTCAATGTGGCGGCGTACGTGTCGGATGTGGCGTGTGTACCACAATATGCAAAATACATATAATAAATACAGTAGACCTGTTTAATAACAATGAAACTACACAATGATTGTTTCCAGCGGTGAGGATGAGGATGAGGGTGATCGGCCGCACTCTCAGAGTGTGATGCTTTATTTATTAAATTTAGTGAACAAGCTTGTTTCTATTTGAGCGGTGTAATATTTACTGGTCGAACAATAATTTCTCTCATGATTATAAATACACCCGTTTTTTGGATATCGCCCCCCAAACTCACGGATCCGTATTTCAAACTCCGTGTGAAAAAATATGCGTAAACAAGTCTTTGTTAGGGCTTTCAGCCTCTGTGTTATTACGGGCATTTTATCTGTTACCCCGTCGTAAGTATTAATGATCTGCATCTTGCGTTACTGTATACTGTCTCACACGCTATTTATCGATATTTAATAGATATGCATTCGATAAGCAATTGTCGGCCATTCCATCCCCGACCAGAACGTGGAGGTAAGCTCAACATTTAATGTAAAATTAACAACTGCCTTACGAAGACTATGCGTGTTCTCAATAACTTGAAGTTACAAACTAAAATATAGAAATATTTTAAGAAAGGCGCCTAAATTGGAATAGTCTGTTTGATCTGACTACCAAACTTGGCGTTGGTAATCTTGTAACTACCATGTATAAACAGACCATATCAGTTTGGCTAGCAAGTTATTGAGAAACAGTATGACAACTTAACGTTTCCGTATAGATACTGACGTTACCGCCATTGTGTTGTCTACAAACAGCCATATGCATGCATCACATTACAGAACAAGGTAATGAATTGTACTCCAATAAAGCAAATAGTTACTTACGTGGTATCTACATTATTACGTGTTAAATTTATTACTTACTAATAAATACACAACAGCATTCCTTCTTCTGGTCATCTTCCTTCCACCACTTGTTCAACTGGTTTTCGAATCAATACACCCATATCAATTGATCCCACTACATCTTTAACCAAGACGCCAATGTAAGTAAATGTAACACTATACTGATTTGAAATATTGCAAACAAATTCTTACAAGTCAATTTACATTTAATATACACAGACGTTCGTATACTAAGACGTTAACAATAACCGCAAGGTTGGTAAATTTATTTGAACAGTTGCACTTTAATGTACTAAACTACTGTTTGACGTCAATACACAATTATTTACTATATACTTACTAATAAATACACAACAGCTCTGGTCATGTTTCTCCCACTACCAGTTCAACTGATTTTCGAATCAATACACCCACGTCAATTGATTCCACTACATCTTTTACCAAGAAGCCAATGTAAGCAAATCTAAACACTATACGTCGTACTTATTTTAATGAATTTTTACAAGTGAGTTTCCTGCGAATTACAATTAATTTTATTTTTTACACACAGGCATTCGCATACTGAGACGATGACGGCAACGACAACGACAACGACAACGACAACCGCAGGGTTAGTAGATTTATTAAACAGTTGCACTAAACTACTGTTTTGACGTTAATTACATAAGCGTTAAGCAAAACCGCCTTCTACTTTATTTAGCTCTCTGGATGATCTCAGGAATATATATGGAATAGTCCTAATAATATTAGGAGGTCTAAATATCCTCGCACTATCAATTAAATTGATAGTCAAAATCCGATACATTTGGACAAATGCAAATCCTGCGCCGTAAAGAATCAGTGATTTGCATTCTCTTTTTTTTTCTTGGTTAGAGACATTTTACACAAATAATAAAGATAGATATTTACTATACGTTAAAAGAAATTTTATTTGATTGAAAAATACGTAGCTTAATAGCTCTCGATATGGTCTGTAATGCAACGGATTTTTTCAATGTTAATGTTAATAGCTACTCGATATATATGGCTGTAACTGTCCATATATGGTGTTAGTCGCAATTGAGAAACTATTCTTACATGTCCCAAATATTAGTGTTTTTTGTGCTTCCTCATTTTCTATACCTATTTGCCAGATCAGCATCTGGGTATTACTTCAGAATTTTGCACCCTTACAACGCTTTTTGATAGCATACCTAGACTATCTAGTGCTTATTTAAAAAGTTGTCAGCTTTAACGAATACGCGTAATTACATAACTGTAGCGCGAGAAGCAGGGTTGTTTTCTGTTAAGATTTTTTTTAATAGACGCTTGTTTTATGAATTTCAGAGTTTTAATATTTACAATTTGATATTGGTTGTTTATTTTTGTAGAGGCCATTAATTTCTCCACGCTGGCTATTTATGCGATACATTTGAAATTTTAAAAAGGGATCTTTTATATAGTATAATGTTCGTTTACGAATAACACAAAATTTTGAGCAATAATAAATTTGGGTTTGTGATGCTTTAGTTCATAATAACGATTGTATATAATTTGGCTAAGAACGTCAATACATTTATGTTACTCTATGTCATATACCATTTCATGTTGATAGTTCCTTATTCGGAACCCTGATTATTGTAACACGGCTGCATACAATACAATTGTTGTGGGAAGTCGAATTAGCGCAGCGCTATCTTGCAAGTTGGCAGATGTTGTGTCTGAGTTGGGGACCCGTCTCAGTTCAGTACCCAGTCACTCAATCCAGAGCTCAGTTGTCTTGGTCCAGAACCGAGACAGGTTTCCAACTGAGATACAACACACAACCAATTATGACATTACGACTTTCAAAACGGATTTATGTTTGCGATCGTTTGTTTTCAAAATTATAGAGTCACCTGGGAAATGATTAGCAAAAGATGACTCGATCACAAGAAATTTGTGAAAACGCGGATTGGTGTATATGAAAAGGTTTGCTTGTTCACCCGTTCACTTGCTTACATTGGTGTATGCACGTTTATATACTAGTTTTAAAGAAAAATATTGCCTTTTGTTAAGAGGGGGTTTCCCGATTGATTACAGTTATTTATGTGCGTGTTTGCTCTGGTGGAAGAGCGTTTACAAACGAGTTCAATGAAACAATATAATTTGTATTCAAAGAGACGGTTCAAAGTCTTAGTAACGACTGGGTTATATCGAGTGGGATCAATTTAACACGTGCATAAGTAGGTAGACCATATAAACGCACTTATATCACTCATCATTAATATAATTAAATGGAATCCATTCCAAATAAGCATCACTTGCAGAGTTTGTTTGTAATTGAGATTTCTTAATAACACATTTGGCACACTTTTCTGACAGAAATTTGTTTGTAAGATGGTTCAATACTTGCAGTTGAGATAGAAATTATTTACTGCACACTTTCAATGGTACCATGGGGGACATTACTTATATAATATTAATGATCAAAGGCGTACCAACTTCGCGAGGACATCTAAACGAGGCGCATCTTCGATGCTTAATTAATGCTTAAATCGTAAATAGTACGTTTGGATAGTGCTTTATTCCCTTCGATAGCAATTAACTCTTTGTAAAATTTATCAGTTCTTCCAGCACATCAAATATAGAATCGTTGGTTTCGCGTGTTAGAATTTTCCATTGTTTTTAGTAGACAAGTTTCAATAAATTTTTTCTCGACAACCACCGAATCAAATGTCAAACTTTTTATAATTCGTTGAAGGTTACTCAAGCTATAATATAGTTATTTACGAAGTCAAAATAATCAGAGATTGCTGAGATAATTACACTGTGTCAACCATTTTTGAATACCCCACGTATAAAGCAATTTAGTTTTTTATTAACAAACTGGACCATTCGCCTTTATTTTCTCCAGGGAAAGATTTTGCAAAAGTTATTGGTGTGCGAACTAGATAGCACTCTAATAAGTCATGGGAATTTCTTTTCTCCCATATACTCAGATGTCCACTTTCCTACGCCGGTTTATCTAAAGAAACTATGCCAGGTTTGAGCTTTTACATTGCGTTTTCCCCGAAGCCTTTGCCTAATGAATTTGTGTAGGTAAATACAGTCATTTATTTCCTTGAAAATTCGGATGGCGCGTGTTGTCTTACCAGACCCTCCTCCTCCATTAAGATACGATAATCGGCATCGTGTAATAGGATCGTGTGTGGTTGGTGCAACGTAGAGATCTTATTATGTTGTTCACCAATTTTTATGATAATAGGCTGTGTGACTTTGCTATTTGCAGATACTTTTGTGCTTTATTAATTGGACTTGTAAGCAAACCTTCCATTTTTGCTCCTTGTCGATTTACCCGTTCTCAATATAATTGAACTACGATTCTACAATATGCAGTTATTCACAAATGGTGTTATAATAACACAAATCTAATAACGATGCTTAAAACACTGTAATAATACGAAAAAGCCCTATCACTAAGCGTTTCCCACTGATCTAAACCACTCATGATTCAGTGCATCGTCACAATTTTGTAATTCTTGATTTTTCAAAAGTTTTGCTATCTTTCTAGCTTCGGTTGGTAGCTCAAACCTCATATCATCAAATAATCGCCCAACTAAATAAAGATCGCAACGTTTATCGTACCCGTTTGATGCACTTGGGGCCCAATTATCCAACAAAAATAAAGGCTTTTTCTCACAGCGTCCAGCATGCTCATAATCTGCTAATAACCATCGATTTTCATATGCTAGGATATTGTCCCACCGAATATCACGGTGTACTAAACCTTTATGAATGCAATAATGTTAAAACATAGGACGAGGAATTGCACAAATAACAAATAATTAGGCATACCTCTGCTATGAAGCTGGTTCAAGCCCTTGAGCACAGCTGTTATTGCAATGCGTAGTTCATTTTCATTTTTCGGTCGTCTATGATAGCACACTGGCGTAAGCACTACTGAATAATGAGTTCCAGTGTCAGATATTTTCCGCTTTTTCCCCAATTTCGGGCCTTCAATCGAGTATACGCAGAAGGGTGAACTATTAATGGTTTCATAGACTTCTTTCAAGGTATCGAAATCACTATATCTAGTATTTAAACGTTAATCACTGTCACAAAACAAAAGATAATTAGCATAGTAAAATAATATCTTACATATATTCGTCAAATTTACGTATTTCTTTCAACACAGTAGTATCTGATAACAATGTCACAACAGTATTGTTTTTTCTTCTCATTTCCTTATACATTGGCATAGCACTTCGCTCAGGTAGATAACTTTTAAGGGTAACTATTATTCGGAATAAATTTAATGACGAGACGAGAGTCTGCGTTTTATAAAAAAAAAAGATAATATATTATATGAATCAGAAACATACATTATTACATCACTGTATATAAGTAATACAGAATTATTAAATTTATCTTTAGAATCTTACCATAAATTCTCCTGGAAACCGTTGCAAATCGTAAACATCTGACACATCGATTTTGTTCATATCTTTCGTGATTGCAAAAAATTGGACAAGGTTTTCTGCTGCGGCATAAGAAAGAATATAAGGTACGCGACCATATGTTGCCCTGTTCCAGAATTCCATCTTATCTAGTAATTCTTGCTCAGCCTCCGCCTTATCAGAAGCAAATTGTTTCTCTTCAGCCTTAAAGATCAAGACGCCGTTTAACCATGCCACTACATCAGGTCGAGTATTCTTGACTGTTGCACCAGAGTTGTCTGTAACATTGCGATTAATAACAAACGAAAAGGGTAAATTCTAAAGTGTTGTTAGTTTTAAGCTTTCTCTAAATAAATGTAATGTATGATTTCTATATTTCTTACCTTGCTTAATTCACACCAAATATCGTGCACTAAATGATCATATCTACTCAATAATGCATTCTCTGAACCAGAACAATTTTGTTCTAAAGCAGCCTGGCACTTATATGATAGACTCCAGCCACTAGTTCTATTAGCATCCCCATCTATGAAATAGTCATCTACTCTGTCACCAATAATACCTTTCCAATTCTTGTAGCAAATACTCTCAATAGGTATCTTTGTGGCAAATGGTGTGGTAGCCAAGTCTTTTAAACTCATTGCTGATGGTAAAATCTGAAGTGGTATACTAAATGCTTCTCTTAAAGAAACACTAATATCTATCTTTCCAGGAATTACTGATAACCAAAGCAATTTGGGTGGGATATTAAAAAAAGTCAGCAAAATAGTTGCAATGAAAAAAGTAAGCAAAAAACACAAATTAGTCAACATCACAAGCAAGTAGCTAAGAATAAGATTGTGTCTATTACACATCTTTTGTACCTTGCTTACCATGCTTGACAAGTCCCTTGTTCTCCTTGAGCTTCTCAACAAGGTTTGTTACCATAATGGCTGATCCGCCTGGAACTTGCCATCTTTCAAGATCTTTTTTTGTCAGCTGGAGGAGGGCTGCACCAGCAACCTTGTTTCGTTTGACGATTTTGATCTCCTCATCGTCAAGAAAATAGTACTCCTTGTTGGCTTGAAGAAATTGGAGAACAGCAGTGGGGCTCCAACGTTTGATGTCACCAGGAAGGTGGCCAGGTATGGTAAGATCTGTGTTAGAGCTGGTTCCAGATGCCTACATGCAACAAAGAACACATTATGACAATACCTCGGTGAGTTTAGACTTTGGCTAGTAGTATATACCTTGATTTCCATGTGAACATCGTCAGACATCTTGGACACTGAAGTAGTCGCTTGTTGGCTTTTGCTTCGAGTTTCATAAGGATTGGCCGACGTATGAAGACGTTTTACCTTTTTTTTATTTTTATTTTTCTTAGTCATGTCTTGTGGTGTACGGGAACAGATTCTGTGCCCTGTGTCCTGTGCATGTGATATCCAACATTACCTTAAGTTCATAATTAATTCAAACGATTGACCAATTTTCCACAAAAGCTTAATCTTATCTACTGACTTAGCTTGCCGCTTCAACTAATAACTATATAATAATATTTTTTAGCATGATACATTGGCTTTAACTCTAACTGCTGGTTTTGTATTTGAAACTCTTTGTTTGCTTAAGTGAGTCTGAAACTCGCATAACGGCCCACTTAGTTATACAAGATTCATATAATTGAACAATTTATTTACTTATCGCTTTTACAACAAGATAAACACCGGGAGACGAGAAATGTCTCAGAAAAAACATCAAGATATTATACAAAAAAGCATCTACCAATGTTACGACAAAAAGGGAAGAGTGAAGCGTAGTTTCAGAAAAGATATAAATTAGATAAAGAAAAACTTTCATACATAACTATTAGCAACCGATCTTAATCGCTCAATAAATATTTCATATCAAATCTTGTTTTATTTCTGATTTCGTTCAAATAAAATACCATCAATAATATCACTCTCAATGAAAAACGAATGCGCTTTTCTAATGTGAATAAACCAATTGAACTTCTATCGAAGAAATGGTAACCGCTCGCTGGTAAGTAACATATAGACGCAATAGAATTCTTACAAATAGTCATCGTTGATTTCTGGGAAAGTTATGTCTGCCCCGCTTGGCGAAGCATCGACATCAAGCACGCGGCAAGGAATTTAATTGATAAACATCCGCCAGACCTTTGTAAAGTCAAGATCAAAATTACATGACTAACTTCCTCATCTCGCAAGTCGAATGCTATAAGATTCTACACATTCTATACAAGAATAAACGTCAACACGCGATCCGAACAGGAAGCTAGGAAACCTATCCATCATCTGCAATTGTAAACGCTGTAAAAGAATATGGCACTGACAGTCTCAGCCTCGGTTCAACTGTGCAGGAATTGATACAAAAAGAGGAAACAAATATGAAATAAAGTTCGGGGGAGCTATGGAAACGAATTTCGTTGGAAGCGATAATATAAAGTTCTTGGTATGATTTCGCAAGGGCGTGAAAATGTGCGACAATGGAAAGCAAAACATATTCATCCTATTTTAAACAAAAAGCTCGTAGTATTATTATTGTCAATAGTGTAATTTGCTCTTACTCTCGGAGTAAGATCGCGAATATCATTTAGGTGACACTGCCCAAGGGCTGTAATTCCTCACTCAAGCTTAATACTAATTGCTTGATAACCACGATCTATTTATAGTTATAACGAACTCTGGCTATTAATATAACGAATATTTAATTTAAAATACTTATATAACCTTTGTTATAAAAAAAACTTTGATTATAAGGAATTTCTGGTTATAAAGAAAATTTTGTCCAGCCCCGTAGAATCGTTATAACTAGATTGACTATGTACTAGGCTAAATATCTCTATTGCAGGGCTTTGTATTGATGATGGAAGTACTATATTCACAACGTTATAGCATATGGTGTGGTGCCGGGACATAAACTTCGAGATTGGCTCGTTGGTGGAATTAAGGAAGATGCCATTCGCCTTGACGTGGAATCAAGTGGGCAAACATTGTTAAGTACGTGTGGATTTTGATATAATATACTGTATTTGGGCTTTATATATAAGTGGATTTTTTGATGTTAAGTGAGATGGTGCTTGGTTTTATATAAGGGAAAGGTAGGGTTGTGTTTGTATAACTGCAAGTATGACGTTTTGTTATAATTAAGTATCTTCAAATTTATAGCGAATACGTGGGGGGACTGAAAAGTTTTGCGTGTGGCCCTCTAACTCGAGATTAACTAAAAATTGGAATAATCATAAGAACAACTGTTCGTGACGTCATGCTTCTTTACGATACGACATAAGGCAACGGAGTATCTTCATAACAACTTTCCCCCCACTTGCCATACAGTCCAGACTGTATTCCTTGTGATTTTTTCCTATTTCTTCACAAAAAAGAACTGAAGGGAAAAAGATTTGATAAGGTCGAACATTTGGCAAGGGCTGCTCAGGCAGTTGCTGACCCAAAAGCTGGTTATTATTATTTCAAGAGTTGGCAGAATCGTCTGCAACGTTGCATGGAATAAAGGTCCATGCGCAAAACTTTTCAGCCCCCCACGTACGAATAAATATTCCCAGATGAAAAAACCAAACTGCAACTGTTGAATACTGCTTAAAATATTGGCTAACATAATCAACGCTTCCATTTAATCAGTAGAAACTATACAGACATTTTATTACTATATATCAACACATGTATGTTTCTCATACCAATCCATTACTCGTTCGTTCCAATATCTTTAGTCCAATATCAATATCATAATTCATTTCATCACAAACGGAAATATATATATACGACAACACACAAGCTCTCTAATATACAACAAAACCACATATTAATATCTCTCTAAATATCAACAACACATACCCCTCATAATAATGCATATATACATGTAAACTGAGTCACCGAAAGCTCTATTATAGAACAACAAAAGTCTTCTAAATTTAGCGGAAAATGATATTTTCGCAATTCAGATGGGGATAATATCAATATTATTTTTGATGGATATATCACCCCACAGCCACCACGACACGACAGATATATTCGGCGCAGTAACAGGACTCAACAACAATACTCTCTCGGTAAACTAATATCAAGAATCACTAATTACCTTTCCCTCTCCATTAACACAATAGTTGTAAATATACAAACTACACGTTATAAACCCTACGAAATTATCCCTACTCCCAACTAATGCAATTGGTTGCGCGCTCTTGGGACTATCGTTACTAGTCCTTACTCAAGCAACGACACAACCGTAATACGTCAACGGTACCAGTTCCCAATTCAAACAAACAATTACTGTTTACCATCAGTCACATCGCCAGTACCTGCCCTGCAAGCAAGAACATCGAAAGCGAAAGTGACAATATGCGGTGAATTTGTCGTAATGGATGATGAAATTACATGTATTCGAATACGAATCACTAACAAATTCCATTGAGCCAACAACAAATATTCCTTCATCCACTATTTCTCCATCAAAACATCTCAGTTGACAAAGGAATAGTAAACACACCTTCGGATTCTACAAAACAAAAAGCCAATGAAATTACAACGCAACATTATCCAAATGACAACATAAATGAAAGTCAACCATCCGAGCTTACTACTAACAACAAACAGTCGACAAACTCAATAGTCAACTTCTACATTTAACATCCCTCCCAAAATATACCAAACGAAACCTTCGTAAAAAAGACACAAATAATTATCATTAATCAAGCTTATAATTATAAGTAGTCACAATACAAATTATACAATTAAACACCTTCTGCTCTTACAAAAAACTATACCACTTTATTACTTTAATACGTAATCTATATTATTAAACAAACAAAATAAAAAATCCTGCCACATATTTGTATATTATAACATTACGATACCAAATCCAAAAATATATCCGTCCGCCCTTAACTACATATACCGCTGACTGTATTCAAACAAACAATAAAAACCACAGTCAATACAGAGCGTCCATCCTAGTTATTCATAATTATTATAACTTAAATCTTACATTCCGGTAACTAAAAGTATTATTCAAAAGAACGAATTAGAATTGAAAAATAGAGAAAAAAGCTGTTGATTGAAATGTTATTACACCTCAAAACTTGGAATCATAAACATATATTTGTCTTGCAACCAACTGCCAACTTTTCCCTTATTGTGAAATTCTTTCGTTGACAGTAATCCGGCTACATATAATACAGTTGCTATGAGAGGCCGAATTGGCGCTATCCTGTGCCCTGGCACATAAATTGTACATTGACCAAGCCAAGCAATATAGAACCATGATAGTGACAAGCCCAACTATCACAAGCGCAATTTTCATCAACGGACTTAGGTTTGCGGTAGTTTGTAGTAGGTCTGATACCGCTGACGTCGGGTCGTTCAAAGTGCCTGAACTGTCCAATTTAATTCCCTTGTCGGGTGGAGTAGAGCTGCTTATTATACAATGAAATAATGATGTGAGTTGATTTAATTAGGCGTACAAATATAACTGTATCAAGCCAAAAACGATAGTTAATGACGATGTATACTGCTGGTTTGCACGCACGCAGCAACTCATATTCGTATTTAGCCTACCAAATAGATGATCCAAAACAATCTCCACCTGAAGTTTCAAGCGGCGCCGCATGGACGCCAATGAGATGGATAATAATTGGAAGGACTTTTGTTATTAAGCTACCAACGGATGACATTTTTGAGAGGCTTGAGGAGAATGTTATACTCAGGAAAAACCCATCTACATATAGCATTTTCCATTCCCCATCATAAATAACGAAAATACCCCTAAGTACTGCTCTATACGTGTCCTACATTTATCGCATTTTGTGCTCATGAGAGGGCCACTTATTACTCAATTACTATCTATACAGAGGCAGGAGACGTTGTCCAACCGCGGAATGCAGTCAGTCAGTAATTTAGATCGTTGAAGTTAGTCATATTTTGTGTGATTCAAATACAGTAATTACATTATGACTTACGAGCGTGTACTGAAGTCGAAAGTAACCATAGCATATTTTGAAGGAACCAAGAAGGTCCTTCCAGCAGTCGTGAACATATGACTTCCTCAAGAAAATTAATTGGATTTTGCACTTGAAACAAGGGGCGAAATGTAGGGGGTTAATGTAACAAACACTATCTATGAGGTCCGCATTTCACCGACAAGCAACTACCAAAAAAGGATAACTTCGAATAGTGTTGGTAAATATTTGTCGGTGAAATGTACTGTCGGTGAAATGACTACGAGTTGAGAATAGCTCCATGACACAGATGTAAATTTTTTCTTTGTTGTTATCTATGTATTGTGCTTTCTACAACTTGACTTCTGAAATGCGAGGCGGTTAAAAACGCTAAAACTCCGGTAGAGTAAGTCAAAAAGAAAAATACTCTCCTCAAACGTCCGAAACGAACAAAATACAGAGCATAAAGGCTACAAGATAATATAAGTGGCCATATCACATTATTAGAAACAACAGCTTCAAGGGATGAAAATTATCGATAGCATAGTCTAGCAACCAGTTGAAGCGTAGTTCTATTTTCCATCTGCTTCACCGTTTTTCAAAAGCAGACAGCCCAAACTCTTTGGTGGACATAACATGTTGAATCTCAAGAGAGGTCGGCAAGTTAAGATTTTTCGCAAAACTATTTAGTTTTAGTGAAGAGGGATTTGAAAACAAAAGCATATTTATATGCGTAGTCCCCTGAGAGTGAGTAGCACCAAATTATTATTTACTTCATTGTCATTGGTTTGATTCACTCCACCAACAGTCATTGGTTTGATTTACTGTCGGTGAAATGATTGTCTTTGCATGATTATGTAATAGTAAGCGTAGCGTTTCTTCATTTTTTTCGACAAGTTGGCCAACACTCCAGCCGGGGTCTTTGTTTAACGCACCATCGCCACTCGATTTTTGTTTTTTATAGATAACATGCATGCTAGTACATTTTAACGACAATAATGTATAGTTCTATATTGTCAGGGATAAAAAATTTTTTTCATCGTCAGATAAGTCGATTCTTTAAGACAAGTTAGTCTGCAGGAACATTTTACGATGTAAATATTCATAATAATGAATAATACAGTAAATGTTTAATTAAATATCTTTATCACATAATTCTCGATAAGTCGGCCCACACAAACCGCAATTGACTAGCAATCACATTTGAGCTTAATTCACTGTGTTCTTGAAATAATAAGTCTCTGCTGGCTACTTAAACAACACACTACATATTTTCAGCTCCTTCGTCTTTAACGTCCGTAGGAGTTGACATTTTACAATCGTTTCCTTTCCAATTTTTGTTATCTAATTAGACATCTAACCAAATTTGGGAAGGAGAAAAGAGAAATGAAAATATTGTCAAGTATCATACCCACTACCATAATACATCTCGTTATATATATTATTTGTATTCCACAATACTTCTATCAGTTGAGTAGCAATAATAGATGTTAACATTATATAGACTCAACCTTCGTTGTGTAATTATCCAGTTGCACATAATAAATAACGCTTGAGTACCAATATCGAAAGGTGTGTGCGTATGAACTGTGTGACTATTAATGCTTGCATTGTCTATACGCTTACTCATAAACCAATAGTGATTTAGCTTATTATTATTATTATGCAAGACATACAAAAAAACCCACAAACCAGCCAATCGTAAGTAATGAAAATGACAATTAGAAAACCTGTTCAAAAAGGGAGGCATTTATTTCATCGACAATCATTTCATCGACAGTACACTTCACCGACAGTCACTTCACATGACACATTGTTTATCGCACTTATCATTGGTTTTCGATAAAATTTATGTCGGCTGTCGGTGAAATGATTGTCGATGAAATGAACCGGACCCGTTCAAAAATACTCTTAGGCGAACGTTCAAAAGTTACAATAGTCACTATGATATTTTGATATACTTTTTATTCGCTAGCTAAAAATGATACGAGACGGATGTTACTGGAAAACAATCAAAGAGTGTATACAAAAAAGTAGTTCTAAGTAAAGTCAACGTACAGTTGAGTAATAAGTGTCGGTACGTAATGAAGTACAAATGGTAAAGATTTGGGTTTGCTTAAGGTCCAAGAACTGCAACAAACAGTGAGCACTCTCACCTCAATCTTAGAATCGCATACACAGATCAACTTATCTGTACTATAACTTATTGAAACATTGAACTATAGGCGCATTAGCCTTCTTTTTCTCTGGAATTTTGCAAGCTTCAATTACTTTCATATTTCTTGGATTGTACAGTTTCCAGACTTTTCAACGTACTGCACTGATAACTGCTATTTCGGTATTATGATATGCATCAATGTCTTCTTGGGGAAAACTCTTCAATTTCATCAGCTGATAAAATTCGATAATAGTGATGGTATCAATTTACTGATCAATCTTTATCTTGACTTCATGTTAGAGCGACGGACTTTACGACCAGGATATTGATAAATCAGCTGTACCTATTAAGCAAAATAACAATTTTTTTGTATATCTTAAAGCCAATTGGTTGTATTTTGTTGGTGTAAAGTTAAAGTTAAATAAAATTGATTGGTCCACTACATAGAACTACAACTTCATACAATAAATAGGTCTTATGTTTTACTCGGTACTATTTTCAGGGAGTGTATGACAACAACAATGACTGCTTACCAATTTACTATCATGCCACAGGAGCATTCAGGGAGTGTGCATTTAGGGAGTTATTATTCGTATTACACACATCATGCTGCACATAATCGGGAATTTACCTGCCAGGTCGTATAGGCTCAAATATTATCCCTTCATTGGACGCTCAGATGGCCTCTCCCCCATAAATAGAAATATCATGAACGTACGCGTGCGACATGGGCAGGTAAATTCCTGATAATACTGTATGCTGCACCACAAATTTTTCCCATAATAATACATTGATGTAGGGGTTAGGGGATGTAGCAGATGCAAGTTACCGTTACCCGACACATTTTGGCGTTTATGAAGTAGTTCGATGAAGTGGCGGTATTTATGATTTTTATAAGTACTGAAATGCGGCTTTGAAACAATAACAGGACTAAAACCCGTTATAAGAAACCTTCGATATAAGAAATATGGCCTGCCGTGATTACCGCTATTAGCAACACAACCTACCCTCCCAATAGTTTATACATAAGATTATAAAATCTTTATTCAAATACAATACAATTCTAGTTATTGTAATTACTGTAAGCTAACCCCCTTCATATGATCGAGGGGTGTTTATTCACGAGAGTATACGGTATAAGATTTTAATGGCTCGTTATAAGAGATTTCGATATAGGAGAGTATTTAGTCTGACCAGGTGACTTTCTTATAACGGGTTTTACTTGCATATCAAGTTATACTTGTACTTGTGCTAAAATTAAACCAATTATTAGTTTATTTATTATCGAAATCAGATACAACGTTAGTACTTGTGGCCGTGCTATTATTATTTGGATAAATACAAATCTCGTGCCGTAAAGCATAAGTGATTTGCGTTTTCTTTTTTTTCTTGGTTGGAGACATTTTACGTAAAGAATGCGCATTCTCAAATTTCACCCCTCATTGGCAAAAGCAGGTTAACATTGTGCGTCAAGTAATGAAGATAGATATTTACATGTTAAAAGAAATTTTATTTGATTGAAAAAATATGTAGCTTAGGGGCTCTCGATATAGTCTGTGATGCAACGGATTTTTTCAAATGTCAATTTTAATAGCCACTCGATATGTATGGTTGTAACGGTCCATATATGGGCTAGACATTGAGAGCATCACCCCTACCAACCTCCCAAATGGGACTACCAATAAACATATTGGTTTAGTACCATTTAAATACCCGAATAAGAAATTTAAGTACTTGTACTCCCCGAGTCATTTATAAAAATGTATAAACATGGCTATAGGCTAAACTGAAAACATTATGCAATGTACCTACGTTTCTCCATTTATACATATATGTCTTATTATTATGTCTACTTTTATTGAAAAAATTCGGTCAGTGTTGATAAGGTGGTTGGTTTGAAAACGCAATTCAAAGATTATCAAGTTTGACGAGATTTTGTATAACATTTAATACTTTTTGTATTGAGGCTCGATTATATGACTTAATGTAAAATAGGCGTCGTAATTGAGCTAAGCTTCACAAGTACAGTCAGGAGTTTTACCCAAAATGGAAATCGATTCTAGAAAAGTCTGCAGAAATCTCGAAATATGATTGGCTCTCGTACATTTTTCCTGTGCATTCTTTGTGGATTGTTCGCAATATTAGTGTGCTACTAAAAACTGTACAAACACATACCAGAAGACGTCTAGTTTTGTTAATCACAAATAATCCCTCACGCACAGCTCTTTTTGAAAAAGTAAATGAGAGCCAAAAACTCTAGATTTGCTATGTACATTGTTTACTAAGGTGAGAATGGTAAACTTGTTAACTAAGGACCAATATTTTAAAAACTTTTCCACAGTGTCTGCCTACCAGAAACCAAGAGCAAAAGACCTTCCATGTCTTTTTTCGGAGTTAGTCGAAAAGTACAATGAAGTTGGGTTGAGAACATGTGAAACGAAGGAGTCGCAAAAATGGCGTCATGCTAGTAATCAAGAAACGGCTAAGCGACTTACGCTTTATCATAATTATCTTCCCGAACTTTCAAACCTTCATTCCTCTTTAGGATCTTATTCAATTTGCGAGAAACACTATAACCAAATCATTGTTACTAATCAATTTTATCGACATCTTGTAGGCCTTGTTCAAGAATAAAAGATTGCGATTCGATACTAACGAAGAGTATGTAACCGATTACGTTGACCATTCTTCCCTGGCTGTTGAAGTTGACAAGACAAGAAAGCTTCTGGAGTCTAGTCAGCTGGAGAATCAACAGAAATTACGATTGATAGCAGACCTCACCAATCAACTGGCACAAAGTAGAAGATCAAAGAAATAAAATAGAAGAATTGAACGCACGGTTACGGAAGGCTTATGGTGATACTGCTGAGGTTCGCAATCTGTATGAGGAATAACAAACTTTTTATGGAACAATGGGCTTCTCGATATGATGATCAACATAAGCGCATACAAGAACTGAAAAGACTGTTAGATGGAAGGCTTGCTGACGAACAAGATCGTGTAACGTTGGTAACGGAGATTGTTAAAATGGAACGACGTAATGTATATAATGATATAACGAGTTTAATGAAAAATCAAAATCAATTTGATTTAAATAATCTTTTAGAGTATTCTCCTTCAAAATGGCTTTCTGAGCGAAATCCAGTCATTGCAAAGTTTATACAGGTCCTTGCCCATAATGAAGACGAAGATCGGTGTGAAGAGAAAAGCTTTTTAAGTGCGCAGTAGCAGTTGATGCTATATACGGATCAAGGCACTTAAAATGTGTATCTGCTAAAGAAACTTTATTAGGTTTTTGGCAACCGATTCCAATAATGCGTGAAGAAGCGGATCATCAGAAAACTGAAAGTTTATTAACGAAATCGCAAATCTTATCATTATCTATTATCAACTCTTTAACCCTTCTTTAAGTGATTCAGAACGATTGCGTTTTCGAGGCTTATCGAACAAATCCCGCGACTTAGTGAATAGTCTTCAGGAAATTCGAAATATATTATCTGAAAATAGTATTAGTACTAATACTAATATATAATAAAAAAATATATTTTATATTATCAACACGTGACTTTCAGATTTTCCATAGTGTTCTGTCTAATGCTAGAAATTTCTAGAATTGGTTTCTTCTCATAAAAGGTGCGATCTGCATTGCTAAAACTCCTGACTGAAGTACATTAGCCGTAAGCAGAGAATCGCGTTTTGAATGTTAGCTAAGCTATAGTATTTTATGGCATATTGTATGTCAGATCGGAATTTTAGTATGACGTATGAATATAGTTTGCCATTCTACTTTGGTCTTGTCTTATCACTGTGTCAAGTTTTTGGACATATTGATACTACGGTACTTACCTAACTGTACAGACACATCCATTGATGAGTGTTTGGTTACATATTAGCCATGATTTTAAATGTAATAGGTGACTTCTATATTAAAGGGCGTTCCGTATTCCAATAGTGTCTGCTCTATTGGAATTAATTTCATTATTAATTATCTCAAATACACTCATAGATTATTTTCTGTCAACTGAATTCTCTATACAATTTGTAGTGATACGCATATGTCAATAACATTAAATGAGTCCAGTTGTAAGTCAATTGCACCGCCCGTCTCCTAAATTTGCTATTACTGTAGTATTAACCATCCCGTTATGTATGTAAACGTACATGACCTTCTCAGTGTGCTATTCTGTTATACGAACAGATACGACGTACATCAAATTCAGGGACGTTTTGAGTCAAACAAATAATTTTGACTATCCGGTTACATGATCCCATTCAAGCCTGATACGTTATAATTTTACTAATTCTCTGTATTATTCCGACCCGACATACATTCTTTCTTCCTATCTACCGTTCTTTATGTTGTGAATACCACCAATGTTTGCCTTGATATTAAATCTTTAATTAGTCGTTCTTGTTATCTTAATATATATAGCAAATAAAAACAAACATTATTATTGTTTGAATTGTTATCCCAAAGTTTTGCTTTGAACTTCCTCCGTTGATTGTCCACAATACATGTCTAAAAACCATTGTTTATTCATATAAGAAAACTTTAATGAATCGAGAATACATAAACGGTCGATGGTAAGCATTACGTGTATAATTTAAAACAGGTTAGCGATTCCAATAATTAATATTTAACCATAACTATTATTAAAAAGAAAAATTAGGAATGGAAAATAGAGAAAGCTGTTGATTGAAGTATTGATATAGTTTGTCTTTTAGTTTTTCCGTCAGTGGAGAATTTACGCCAAAGTTGAAATCGATAGTACAAGTATTATTAGAATCGAAAAATAGAGAAAAAAGCTGTTGGTTGAAATGTCATTATACCTCAAAAGTTTGAAATCATAAACTCATATTTGTCTTATTGTGAAATTCTTTGGTTCACAGTAACTCGGCTGCATATAATGCAGTTGCTATGAGAAGTAGCAGTAGCGCTATCCTGTGGCCTGGCACATAAATTGTACATTGACCAAGCCAAGCAATATAGAACCATGATAGCGACAATCCCAACTATCACAAGCGCGACTTTCATAAACGGACTTTGGTTTGCGATAGTTTGTATCAGGTCTGATGCAGCGGCAGATGTCGGGTCGTCGTTCGAAGTGATTAAACTGTCCAATTTAATTTCCTTGTTGGGTGTTTTTTGTGAGCTGGTTATTATACAATGAAATAGATGTGAGTTGATTTGATAGGCGTACAAATATGAAGTAACGATAGTCAATGACGATGAATACTGTTGATTTGCACGCGCGTAGCACCTCATGTGTATTTAACCTACCAAATGAATAATTCTCCATAAAGACAGTCAGGCGACGTTTCAATAAAATAGACAATAGTTGGAAGGATTTTTTTTGTTAAGCTACCAACCGGTGACATTTTTTTTAGGAGAATGTTACAAGCGTATATATTAAGCTTTAACTTAGGAAAGCCGTCTATTTATCATTTACAGTAGTACTCATCATAGATGACAAACAAACCCCTCCAAGTACTGCTTGATGTAACGAACAATCCGCTGTTGGGTAACACTCCTGCCTCTGTATTGATAGTAATTGAGTAAGCATCCCTTTCGAGTCAGACAATAAGAACGAATGACAACAACGCGATAGTGGTAAATATATCTTAAAATTATAGTGTATGATATCAACAAGTTTGTGATTCAAATACAGCAATCACAACTTATGACTTACGAGAGTGTACAACTGTACAGTTTGAAGTATACTATAGTCTACTCACGCATATTTTAAGAAATAGTGCGTTAGGAAGACCTTCGTGAAACAGAACGCGAACCCATGACTTTCGGTATATCCTTTATGAGAGACAAGCAAAAGTGATTGATTATTACAAAATGCACACAGCCGAAAGGATTCATTTCGGAAATCGAGTGATTGGCAATATTCCGGATTTTGCATCTCCGAATTTAGGAAACAAGGCGTAATACGTAGGGGTAATATGTAAGGGGTAGTAATGTAACATACTATTACGAGTTGAGAATAACGAATGTACACTCGCTCGACTTCTGATCAATTAGTAAACCATATGAAAAAAAAAATAAAATTTTTTTTAAAACTCAATTGTCTATACGAACTATGTAGTCACCGTAATTTTTGTATCTGTTTGAAGCTACATTTGAAAGAAAAAAAAAGTTAAAATAATTACTGTGGAAGGGGTAGTGCATTATCTATGTTACGCATATGAACAACAATGTGTAACATTGATACCGTCGCTTTATCGAGATAATGGAACTTACATAGCACGTATAGGCAACAGAGATTCGAAAAAAAAAAAGACTTTCATATGACTAATTACTTCAATTTTGAAATGGACTTTTTTCTCACCTATATTTCTGAAATGTGCGCTATCGATAATTTCACCCCTGAAGCTGTTGTTTTTAATAATTGATATGGCCACTTATATTGATTTGGTACGTTCTTGTAGCCTTATGCTTTGCATTTTGTTCGTTTGGGACGTTTGAGGAGAATTTTTTTTACTCTACCGGAGTTTTAGCGTTTTTTAACCGCCCCGTAGTTTAGCAACCAGTTGAAGCGTAGTTCTATCTTTCCCACCTGCTTCGTCGTTTTTCAAAAGCAGACAGCCCAAACTCATTGGTGGACATAACATGTTGAATCTCAAGAGAGCAAAGCTCGAGTAATTTTCGAAGTCCTGACAGGCAGAGAGGATTCTTTTATAACTATAAGACTTATTACCTTTACCCCTTGTTACTGAGTAGCACCAATTATTCTAGTCCAGATTAGTCTATTTGTGTTAGTTATAATCAACGATGAAAGGATACAAAAAAAAAGTTGTCCCACACTTTTAACGTCGTACAGTATATCCTATATATAGTATTTAACACAATGCTGACCGGAATTAATGTTGGTCTTCACAATGAAGATTACTCCTTATATGTGACGTTAAAAGTGTGGGAAAACGTAACGTTGTGGGATTCTTGACTATAATGAGAAATAAAATGTCTGAGCTATTGGCATAAGCGATAATCGAATATTTATCCGCCGCTTTCACCGTGTTACTCGGCTTTTCCCGTTTATTATCACGGTTATTTATATTTAGGTTAATTTTTAGGTAAGCATGATTTTTTATTTATGACCAGTAATTTCTGGACGACTTTCTTAAAAAAATACGAACAGTACGTACGTATTATTACAGCCGGATTATTCAAGAGTTTGCAGATTACGGTAAAAGCGGCGGATAAATACTCGATTATGCATAAGCGTACAGTTCTTAAAAAGAATTTCGCAGATTTTTAATATTCCTGAAAAAAGGAACGAAAAGAATCTATATACAGTATATCGATAAAATAGTGATATATAAACCAATAAATAAAAAAACCGGCCCACTCGATTTTTGTAAAAAGTTCAACAAATACTGGTTAATAACGGATTATTTTTTGATCGTATGGTTGCAGCGCTCCATAAAAAACTTCGGATTATATCATGTTTAGTACATTTTAACGACAATAATGTATAGTTCTACTGTATACTGTCAGGGATAAAAAAAATTTTTCAATATCAGATGAGTCGATTCTTTAAGACAAGCTAGTCTGCAGAAACATTTTACGATGTAATAATAATAATAATAAATGTCACAGCTGATGCTGAAATCCGGCTTGAAACCATGATATTTCATTGGTTGACCAGATTCTATTCTTTAACTCCATTGGCTATTCAGCCGGATTTCAACATTAGCTGCAACAATAAATAATACAGTAAATGGTTTAATTAAATATCTTTTATCACGTAATTCTCAATAAGTCGGCCCACACAAATCAATACCGCAAAACTGACTAGCAATCACATTTGAGCTTAAATTCAAGAGCAAAAATAAAAAAGTTATCACTACGTTTTTGAATAATAAGTCTCTAAAACAAGCACACTACATATGTTTGGCTCCACATCCGTAGGAGTTGACATTTTACAATCGTTTCCTTTTTTGATGAGAAACAAGCCTGATCTTGTGTCCCAATTTTTGTCATCTAACTTAGGCATCTAACCAAATTTGGGAAGGAGAAAAGAGCGATGAAAATATTGTACTTCGCTTTCATGTCCCTATTTGCGATGTTTCAAATAATCAAGTATCATACCCACACTACCATAATACATCTCGCTATATACACTACCTGGACAAAAGTATCGGTCACCCTAACTTTATTAATTGCTCAAAAGTGTACATAATAATTAAGACTAAAATTTTTATATGTTATAGTCTAACTTGTTGTAAAACGCGCATATATTTTTTACCCGTTGATATTTATTTCTTCTGTAAGCAAAATAATAAACTGAATCAGTTAATTTTAATCTTCACTTTGAAAATGTCTGACTTAACTGAAGCTGAACGTGGCCAAATTATTGGGCTTTTTAAAAGTGGCGCTACAAAAACGAGCATATATAAGACGCTTGGCTTTCTTAGAACAACAATAACTCAAAATTTTCTCGAAAAAAAAAATGCCTCACAACCCAACCACGCAGTGGCCGCCCAAAACCTTTAAATTTTGAGCATAAGCAAGTATTGAAATGGCTTGTTAAGCAAAAAAACAAAAAATTAGCCGAACAACTCAAAAAACTGTATAATGAAAGAACCGGACTTGATGTTTCTACTAAAACTATTAGGAAAAATTTACATGAAATTAAATTTTTTCTCGCATCCCGACATCCAAACCTTTACTTACTGATCGGCAAAGAGAAAATCACCTAAACTGGTGCATTGAAAGAAAGGATTGGTCTATTCAAAATGGAAGTCCGTTATTTGGAGAAACCGTTCGATTTTGCCTAAAAATGTAAGGAAACTTGGGATAGCATTACAGGAAAAATGGAACCAAATTTCTAACAATGTTTTAATGAATTTAATTAAAAGTATGCCTAGAAGGGTCGAACCATGTATTGCAAGTAAGGACTGGCCAACAAAGTATTAGTCTTATATATAGATTTAGAAGAAGTTAGAATATAACATATAAAAATTTTAGTCCCAATTATTATGTACACTTTTGAGCAATTAATAAAGTTAGGGTGACCGATACTTTTGTCCAGGTAGTGTATATTATTTGTATTTTATGATACTTCTATCAGTTGAGTAGCAATAATATAATAGATGTTAACATTATATAGACTCGACATTCGTCGTGTAATGATCCAGTACAAGCAAAAGCGGTGCACATAATAAATAACGCTTGAGTACCAATATCGAAAGGTGTGTGCGTTGAACTGTTGTGACTATTAATGCTTGCATCATCTATACGCTTACTCATAACCAATAAGCGATTTAGCTTATTATTGTTATTATTTGTGAAATTGTTGCTGATGCAAGATATACAAGACCTTGAAAAAAAACCACAAAGCAGCCAATCGTAAGTAATGAAAATAACAATTAGAGAAACCCGTTCAAAAATACTCTTAGCGTTAGGCGGGCATTCAAAAGTTACAATAGTCACCTTTGTGCCACTATGATATTTTGATATACTTTTTATTCGTTAGCTAAAATGATACGAGACGGACGTTACTGAAAAATAATCAAAGAGTGTATACAAAAAAGTAAAGTCAACATACAGCTGAGTAATAACATTGTATTGTCGGTACGCAATAAAATACAAAAGGTAGAGATTTGGGTTTGTTTAGGGTCCAAGAACTGCAACAGTGAGCACTCTTGCCTCAATCTTAGAATTGCATGTCACATTTATATTATCAAACAATGAGACCCCGCATTTAGAGAACTGCACAGCTAGTTTTAACATCGGCTATCTAATATTACATACTGGACAGTTGAGAGGTGAAATAGTGAACATTCCATTATGTGACATAAATGAGAAGCTGATGTGGCTGAAAATTAACTAATTTGACTAATTGCATTTTGGCTGTGACTTGTGTTACATTTTTTAATTAATCTAATATTATTGTTCTGACCCAAATCGAAACTTGACCCAGTTCGGAACTGGGTCAACCCAATTCGGAACCGTCACATGGTGATGTCTATTTCGACGATGTCCCGT